GGTAGCGGCGCGGGTTGCTAATCTCTCAGCCCCAACTAGGCGCAAAAAGCAGCCCGCAGAATGGCGCATCCACGAAAAGAAGAAAAAGAAAGAAACGAGCCAGAAGAAAAGGAAGGAAAAAGCACATCCAGCGTCGGCGGAGAGGCCTCATTGACGGTGCGAGCCTGTAGGTACGTAGACTCGACCGCCGCCCTCCGGCGACGGAGCTTCAGCTCCCACGTTGCCAGCGCATCAGAGCAGAGCTCATGAGATCCTGACCGTGGTCGAGAAAAGCCGTCGAGTGCGTGCAGCGTAAAGAGCTAGGGACGGCCCGAGGCAAGAGTCTCTTTGTTCTCGCCTGTCGTCCAGCAGCTGAGCGGGCGTCGTGCGACTCAACTTGAACCGGTCGTTCACGTCGTTGTCCATGTGGACACCAATATATAAAGGGGGGACGAGGCAAGCCGCATTTGCAGTGCATTGCTTTGTCCCGGCTACCTTGCCACGACGAACTGGCTAGGTGCCTGCACTTTGATCTCGACACATCTCACATCTCGCGCATGCGCCGTGCACCACGGAGATCTGCTAGCCCGACCACGAGCAGGCGTCTGTGCAGCCGAGCTGGGATCCCGACGGTCCGCGACGGCGCGTTTGATAGCCCAAGGCTGGGGATATCACGAAGCGTTCACTCAGGCCTCATTTGCCTTGTAAGCGGAGTGCGGGTAACCGTGGCAAGCGTGGAAAAGGGCTGAGCTTCTTCTTCTTCTTCTTCTTTTTTTCCCCCCCTCAACAGCACGTGTTATGATACTAGTCACCTCGTCCATGCTGATAGTCCTTGGCATGACCGTTGTTTGTACATGTACATCCAGTAGGATGTAGCACTGGCACATGAGATTATCTTGTTGGGTCGCCATGGAAGCTCGGACGACGGATGCCCAACCCCTACACCAGGGGCTCAGGATTGAGCCACTGATGGTGGTGGCGGGTGATGATGCAAGCCATTGATTCATGCTGCTCTAGCCAGTTCAGTTCGTTCCGTAGGTGGTATTACCAGTAGAGCTGTGATCGAGCTCCGCTACCTACTCTGCTATCCCGGCCGTCCTCATTTTCCTGTCTTATTTCGTTGCGAAATT